TTTAGGCGATATGCAACGCATTCACTCTTGTGTCATAGTCTTTAGTGCAACATGAGTCTTAAATCAATTCAATCCACTTCTTCTAAAACTCACAAACAAAAATCAAACATTTTATCCTTCGAGATCGTTGTTTCAAACTTCATTTTCAGAAGAAAAAAAGTACATTACTTTTCCGTTCTACCGCAAACAGGCATCGTCCCTAACTATTGGAATGGAAGCTTAGTGTCACTCACAAAAAATACTTAACCAACCAGTGGTCTAGTTTACCCGAACTACGTTTGCTCTTATTTCTCATACCAGATGAGGATATGTAGGCACAAGACGACGATGTCTTGGCGAGCAACCTCCCCCCATCACCCGTAGTTTTCTGAACTACGTTGACTCCGACTTTCCCATTGCACGAGGGAATACGTAGGCATAGGGCGACGATGTCCTATCGAGTATGTTCTTTCTCTTCACCCCCATTTAGCAGTAGCTTTTAGATAGCTTTCACCCATAGATTAGACAACAAGCATGGATCCCGTTGAGTACAACGGACGTGAGGGGTGCTCATACCTTCCCCTTACGTAACCGACTCCCGAACCCAAGATTTGGTTGCGACGACCTTGTCTTTCCTGTTCTTTTAGGTTTTCTTCGACCGTTTCTTTTCCCTCTCTTTGGGATAAATAACGTTCGGTGGCGAATCTTCTGTTTGTTTTCGCCGGCTCCGTTTTTCACATTTGCGACACCACTTGCTTACTTTATACTACAACTAACTGTAAATAATTTATTTAACTATTTTTGGTTTGGATTGTCTGTTTTAGGAATTAATTAGAACAAATGTCCCAAAAACACTATAACTGTCTATCGAAATCTTATAGATCACCTTGGACCAGACAATGTATTACAACTAAACAACTCATCATCTAGTTAACTTAGTTCTAATATTACTAATTTACAAATCTTATAATTATGTATTTTCCTTTAGAGTTTATCTGGAGACCGTATTTGTGTCTCGATCATGAGATTAACCCTAGGGATGCTATAGTTTGGACTACAAAAATAGCAATAATCGGGTTCACTAATGTGGAGATGCACTAGAGTGACCATGTCAAACTGCATTTTGGCATGCAGCAACAAATCCCAGACCCCCCCCCCCCCCCCCCCCGATGTCTTCGGGATAATGGCATTAACTAAGAGTCGATGTCCAATGGAATTATTCTGATTGAAGAGAGTTCGCTAGGGAGGTGTATCGTCAATGAAAGCATTGTCATCAATATATCATAAATGAACATACCATGAAAAATGCTGGACTAACTCAAATTATATTAATTGTTATAGGTCGTTTATAACAACATAGTTTGTGTCTGACACGAGGTATTCGATCAATCCACACCAATGAGCTTCGTCATCATAGGCCCAGCAACCAACCCCCGCCCAACAACCAACCCCACAATAATACCAAACCAATAACATCATCATACCAAATACACCCAACAATCAACCGAACATGATTATGAACCCACATACACCCAACCCCGCAACCAATTCATGTCACACACTCAAACATAAAATCAAGAGCATGACTCATACCACCAACAACCATATGCCTCCACCACATATTACTATAGCCCCGATGAGGCATGTGATTCCACCTCATCCTACCATAGCACCCAATCGTTACACACCCAAACATCACACCACATAAGCACCAAAACATCACATCGCCAAAGCATTCAATCAACACATGTCTTTCAAACACCATAAGAACCATTGCTTCATTTTCAAAATGATTCAATGTCCCAATTCAACCTACCATCCCGCCAACACGTAACCAAACCATCACGACCCAACTACGACAACATGAACATCGAACTTATTTACGTAAGCGCCAACTACAGAAGATATATGATCAAAAATTTGTTAGATAACATTAATATCCCAAGAACCTCACACCAACCACCTTTTCCTCATGTGAATACTAGGAAACCCCAAGCACCTTAGGGAAATCGTGGGAGACCTTGAAGGCAAGCGAATGCACCGGGGTGTGGAACCGGTAGGCGTTATGATCGAGCTGATCATTAAATTTCTCTTCAATCATTAGGTAATTCTATTTGATGGAATGATATTGTAATTTATTTTTTATTACATTTTATTTATAATGATTTTATTGTTAAAATAATTATAAAAAAAAAAAAAAAACAAAACAGCACTGTAGCCACTGGCTATGACACATGCTCTTAAATGATGCGTCACAGACAATGACATGACACATAAGCATCCACCACAAGATATGGTGTCTTGGGCCAAAAAATAGAGTACATGCGCCACAGGCAGTGGCGCATCCTCTTGGAGGCGAATTTTTTTGTTTGAAACATTGTTAGCTTGATATTTTTTCTAGAAAAAAATGGTTTTTATTTTTATTTTTTTATTTTTTTAAGCTTGGTTATGTAAAAAAAACAGCTTTTCATTTCAATTTATTTTTCCAATTTAAAAGTGATAATGTTAAGATAAGGATGTTACGAACACCTCTTGCAATAAGTCCATAATTTGTATCCGTCTTTAGCTCGTTGAACTGGATATTCTTTTCATTGTCAATCAAGAGTGAACGGTACTCGACCTTCACAATTATTAGATTATCTGATTATTGTAGGAGATTTTCTAGTACGAATTTCAGATCTACAAGAGAAACATACTTTGTAAACTTTAATGCAATTGAGGGCTCCGTGTCATTGAAGTAAACATATGCGACATGCGAAATTATGTTCATTCTGGTATAATGTGATTTTGTAAAAAATATGAGATGAGAGATTCATAATTATAGAACTTCTAGGTCAATATTAACCTTATAAATTATATCCATGTACCAGGGAAAATTCAAGAAATACATTTAAGGGACCACCATATCCTGATATTACATAAATGCATTTTCAAAACCACCCAACACATAATTAATTTCACAAACATAATCTGTTTTAGAATGGAAAATGGAAAATTATTTGGGAAACTTAAATATATATTAAAATATTTGAAAATGTATATATTTAACATCATTAATATTAATATTAAGACAAGATTACATACCAAACATGTCTAACCATATATATACATTGTTGAATAAAGACAAATTATTCGAAACATGTGTCACCGGTCAAATTTATGTGTATGGGTGATTGCACTTTTGCCTTTTGTTTATTTGTTTCTCTTTCAATCTTGTTTAACTTGGTGAATTCTTGCATCCTATCCAAAAAATGATCCGACCAAGTTTCAACTTTCCTTGTTGAATAAGTTATCCACTCTGGTAATGTCAGTGGTATAGGACATCTTCAAATAAACTTGAACAAAGTGTTGCGTTTTTGAAAGTTATATGATACACATAATACGATCATTTGGATTTTGCGGTGAGACAATGCGCAATGAAAAAATGTTCTCGAGAAATCGCATCTTGTCAAATCAATACACTATTTCATACGCACTTGCTATAAGATGACTCATTTCAAGGAAGCGCATCCATTTTTCCTCCGATGCCGGTCCATTAATGCAAGGAACAAAAGATTCATAAATTGCATCAAAATTTTCTTTCTTTTTTAGTATAATCATGTGTATGATTCACAAGTGGATGATCATTCTCTCCTTTACCGAGCAAAGCAGAAACAACTCAAAATCGAAGTTATCGTCATCCTCAACATTGACGATCCGTTCAATGTATGTGCATAAAAACAAAATTAGAAGAATTTATATAAATAAAAGTAGATATTTTAAAGTGGTATTCTCTATTAAAATAATTATCTTATTTGTAAAAAAAAAACTAAAATGAAAGATTTATTTAATACAAAATTTAATAATTTTTATTTTTAATTATATTATTCATAATATTTTTATTTCTACCTTACATCTTATTAGTATTCAATTTAAATTTACTATTATTCTTAACTTTACAGGAATACAAAATCATATTTCTAGTGTAGACACGAATATTTTTACTATGAAAATAAAAACTTCATTTCTACAAGCTCTAATCTAATTTGTGGACCATCTAGCTACTTCTTAAAATATGGACCATTTATGACATGCTAGGAGATTAGAGGTTCATCTCCTATGGACAACATATCATCTTTGTGAGTTAAGATAAAACCATATTTCTAAGACTTGTCAATGTCATATGGTTTGTCTGACTCATTTATAGAATCTCAGACGGTTTCACCACATCACTTAACCCCATCCCCACAACATCACTTAAGATTGCACACATCTGTAAAGGACAAAATAAACACAAGGACTGTGTTTTAAAGATTATATCTTCACATAAAATGTGTCATCCAGAAATACATTATTGAAAACATGTGTAGTTTTTTAAAAAAGTGAGATGGAAAATTTGTTATCCTCTAAATATTCGGTGGCCTTAAATGTTTTACATGGACACAGCGGAATTTCTGACTCACTCTTTTGTTCCTTTCAATGGCGTGTTTGAAAATTGCAGAGAACAAAGAACCACACTTTATTTCCAAAACAAATATTGATCTGACTGGTTTTTACACTCTACTATACACACTTTGTCCTCAATATAAATACAACCTAGACCGCATTTGCAACCCCAATTGCTTGACCAAAAATTAAATTAAAAAATAAAATTAAATAAAACCCAAAAGAATTTTTTTTTTTTTTCAAAACCAAGCTCACAAACAACCTTTGCCCTATAAAATTAATGCCACACAGCTAACTCAACAAAGACAATCCTAAACATTCAAACCACTGAAAAGAGAACGAGAGAAGTGGAAAATCTCTAGTTTCTCTTGATGAAAAGTTTCCCGGGAGCAGTCGCAGCTATGCTAAAAAAAATTACTGATGCTGTCCCTTTCACTTCCACATGTTCAGTTCCTTACTGCAAAACAGAGAATCTCCCTGCTTAGAAAAAAGTAGATATAAAACGGTCAAGGAAGAATACTATAAACTTTTCTGATAAAAGTTTCTTCTACCTGAACCTAAACTGCCGGGAGCTGACAAAAGGATAAGTTAAAGAATCAGAATAACTGAATAGCCATTTTGAGTTTGTTTTGCTTCCATTTGGGCAACTTGTAAAACGCATCCTTGGACATCCCAAATTTCTCTTTGAACTCGGCAGATGATAGATAAGTCTGATTGCATCAAGTTCAAACAAATCAACATTAAATGAACAGTAGCCTAATTATAAGCTGCATTTCAAAAGAATGCCCCAAAAAGAACAAAAGTATGAAAAGAAAGTAGATATGATGATATTATAGCTAGACTATATAGTCCACTTTACCTCTCTTTTAGTTACATCAATGTCGGGCACAGGATCAATAGATGTTATTTTAAGGCGCTCGTATGGATAAATCAAGAGACCTTCCTCGTCTTCAGCTTCACCTTCTTTCACATCTTCCTCTATGGTAAGAGATTCCACTCTGCCGCTCACAGAGTTCTCCTTGTCATTTTTCTCAGGGTTTGATTTAGGGGTGACTGGACTCACTTCACATTGTAACAACCCAGAACAGAAAGCATGTTGCGACAAAGTGAATTACATTACTCAAAGCAAAAGTAATACTCAAAAGAGGGAGGCGAAAGGGAGGGGAGTTGGTGTGCAATTTTATCAAATGTTTACCTTTAACTGCCCGAGGTATCATACTTTCTCGTGCAGAAGGTGGTTGTTCAAAACTAGAAGTGAGAGCAGCTATGGCTTTAGATTTTGATGCAAGTATTGCAGAATCTGGTGTCGTAGATTTTGGATACAGCTTTCTAATTACAGGAGGTGGAGTTGAAAGGTTCCTGGCATTGGCGCTCTCAAAAGTAGCAGCTAGTGCATTAAAGGCGGGAGACCTGCCCCTCACACGAACCCGGTCAGGACTAACAGACATGCTACGGGAGGAACGCTGGGATTTATCAGGCACACTACTAGACCTTCCTCCGTATGAAGTTGTTCGCCGTTTGGGTTTCTGAAAATGTATACAAGGCATTTCAACAACAAAACAGATTAAATGCAAATGCAAAGAAAATATATCTACACAGGAAAAGCAGAGAAACTTAAAAGATGGAGTGAATCACATCGGTTCTATACGAAAGATCATCAGCAAACAAGTGTACATTTTTGGAACCAATAGTTATACAAATTTTGTATTCACTAGAATAACTTTCTAGTCAATTGAAACAGGCTTTCAAAACTTGGGTCTGACATTGATGTCGAAGGTTTGGACAAACAAAATAAGATTAACCAATATTTAATTGTAGAAAAGTATTTATTTCCATGATATAAATTACTTTAAGTCTTAGATTTTTCAATGCCTTCATTAAGCGCTATTTTCACACCTCAGTATTTACTCTATTTAAATATGTAAAGGGATATTTCATTAGTGAAAGTAAGAAAATGAAATGCCTTACAGCCACTGGTGCAGTACCCCCATTTTTAACAATTTTAAGCTTCCTTTGAAATGAGTTCCCCAACATCTGCAAAGATAAAAAGGAACTGTCAATATCAGGATGCTAAAATGTCACATGATTATGCCATTATGTTTATAAACTTACTGCAGACTTTGCTGACTCCCAATTAAAAAAGCGAGTGAAAAACGGTGGCTCGCTCCCTTCCATGACAACATATATTGGAGCCACCCGAGATATCTTTTCCAGCAGAAAATCATGCTCAAGAAATTTCTGTTCAATTTACAATAGTGAGTTAACAAATCCACAGCCAAACCTAGAATCTAATGGATGTTAAACTCAAAAGGTAAAAAACATGAAAATGATTATTATAAATCCCATTCTTTCGTAATAACACAGGGATGTTAGAGGACTCAAATAAGCATTAAATTAACTGAAGGTATCAGAGTCTTCGAAAAAGTAGCCACTACATTATGCTGGTAGCAAAACCAGTTTTACCTCACCAATTGTTAGCGCCTGCATTCTACTCTTGGTGTCAACCTCCTGGCCAACCCAGACAAATATATCCGAGTAACAATCCAAGATGAAAATGTCTTCTGTCATTAAATCATCCTGGGAGAAGTTGTATATCTCCGTCACCTGGGAGAATTGCTCCAGATTAATGCATTGAAACAGAAATAAATCCAAGTATTCACATTGTCAAAAGCAGTGCAGCACTCATGACCGAGTAAATTCACCCTTAAAATTTTGTAAAAGTTCCCTTAATAAACTGAGGTATCCCCACCACATTGGTCAGACTTATCTGTCTGCATTATTCACCGAAAGTAAGTCCTTAAAAAAAGCTATGGTGGCCATCACCACCTCTCAGTGAATAATTGTGTCCACATGTTAGATAATGTCTAATCAGGTCATCTTATTTTGATCTTATGCGTTACAAGATTAACCATAAGTTTAATTTTGAATAGCATCTGCTGTCTTTTTCAGTAATTTTTAAAAAATAAACTATTGAGTAATCTTATGTAATCAAATACTGAATACCATTATAAAGAACTTGATGAACACCTAATACTAGGGGGATGAGGTATTGGATAAGAGGCTGGGAAGGAATTTCCGGATAGCATAGGGTTTGGAGTAAAGATAGCTTGCTGCTCTGATGTTTGATCTTATTTATATCACATATCACTAGTGCTCATAATATATTACAACATTTTTTACTAACAGTATCAGATTGAGCAAACCCGCTTCTGTTTCAATCTTATTTATCACATATCACTAGTGCTTAAAATATATTACATTATTAAATTTTTCTTTATGACAAGCAACTTAACATACTACAATAAAATATTGTTGAAAGCCAAGATAAAAGACCTACTTTGACACACCTTCATTATACGGTTGCATTGCATTTCCATAAGTTTCAAAATTAAGAATTTTGTTACCAGATATGATAGATTAGTGGGTGTACTCACCTTTAAGTTTCCTGCTCGTTGTTCAATTGGGTGGCAGAAGAAAACCATCACAAGAAAGTCAGCTGTTTGCCTTCATAAGGGAGGGGGGTCTGTAAATATCCAGGAAACAAGAAAATCATCCCTTACCTTTTGAGAAGTTGCAACAAAATAGGTGAGGATCACTTTCAGCTTCCCTACTAATCTTTTGACTGGGATATTCTGATTTTCCTCCTAACAAATCCCAAAACTGTTCAGATTCTGTGCCTTCCCTTTGTGGTTTTGATTGTAAATTTGGCTGCAGAAATTTGACTAGCATGTGAAAACTAGATAGACAGAGAAGCCTGACTAAACAAATATATCAATATACTGGATAGCAATCTCTTTGAACATTTGAAAGTTTAAAAACTTGAAATTGATGTCTTCCTACACATTAATTTTGCATCAATGGATCAACTTATATTATTACTGTTTACTTCTTTTCATATCAGTGTAATTCGCTGGTTGAGTAATAGGGACATGCCACTGAAAAGTATCTAACTTAAAACCCCTATGACTATAGAGGCAATCCTAGTGTGGTTAGCTATGATAAAAAAAATATATATAACCATATATTTAACCATTTTAACCATGAAAGTATATAAAACATCACCCACGTCTATCTGATTGTCCAACACAATCATTTGACCTAAAAACAAAAGCCAAATTCTTGGTATTTGCTTAGACCCATTAAAATAAATCGCTATATCTTAAACACGCATCATACCTTTATCAAATCCAGCATCCTCTCTACAAGTTCCTGGTTTTCTGCATTTGTATTGCTTCCAGACCAAGTAAAGACAGCAGGCCCATTATGAAGTATGTAGCAATAAGAGGAATTCAAGGAAGAAGCAACCTGGTTGACCCCCATGAAAATAAAAATTGATTAAATGAACAGCCTACAATTTCAGAAAGGTGTGTTGCCCAATACAACATACTCCCTCCGGTCTTATTTATAAGCAAAAGTCTTCTAAAAATTTTGGCCTTAAATATAAGCAAATGTCAATTAATTTAGACACATTTAATGCTTTTATTCAAAAAATATCCCTGCATTAATTACTTAATATTGATAGTGGATGACAATTTAATTACGGGTAGATTATGTCTTATACATGAAATCGAGAAGATTATATACACTTAACTACCATTCTTAATAAGCGTGAAAGTTGTCTTTTTTGCTTATAAATCAAGCCGTAGTAGTAAGTGGATAGACAAATGACCACTACAAAAAGGAATTGGGGCATACAGGTTCAACTTGTATAGCTTGCATATTATCTGGTCCAGAGCCCTGGATGCGGAATAATGCAACACCATCCTCACTGTATGTCTCATCTGGAATTTCTTTTTCTGCAATGTAAGTCTTGTATGCATCACCAAGCCCGCCCTGATTAAAATGAATAGGAAAAAGTTACATGGCAAGTAATAGATGGGGTGTGAGCTTCCACAATATTAGGACCATACAAACCTTAAAAACAATGAAGGTTTGTAGGATAGAATGAAATTGAATTGGTTCATTGCCTTCGTATATACGAGCCTGCAGTCAATTAAAAATGCTTATTACTATCAATTAAGAGATAAGAAACAAGCATAAATAATATTTAAACAAAAGGCCAAATACATAATTTCCTAAAATATTACCTGAGAAGCCAGAAACTTCATTGACTCAACCATTTTACTAGCCAGTGAATTAGCTGAAGCTCTTTCTTCCTATTTTCAATTGAAATCTTGTGATCAATACAGGCAATAGAATACCAGTGCTCCGAAAAACAAATTTATGGAAAGACTGAAATATATTCTGCCATGCATTTATTTAACACTTTCTGGCCCCAGAGAAGTTACTAGTGCCGAGTATAGTGCAATATGTAAGCATACAATTGGCTAACATTAAAAAAATCTCAAATTTTTTATACATTTGGGATTTTTTTTAATAGGTCACAGTCAACACCAACACTCGTAAAATTTTAAGCAGTTTACATCTCTAATGATTCCTAGAGCTTGAAAACTATAAACCCCTGTAGTTTAAAAAACTATTTTGATAGGACTCCTGAGTCCATTATTTCAATATGTCCTTGTGATGACTCAATCTGGAAAATAATATTGACTAAACAATAAGGACCCAATTATAGTTTTCAAACTATAGGAACCTAATTATGAATTCACAGCCAAAACTTAAAAGGACTAACAGTTTTTTCACCTACATTGAACATTTTGCTTTCAGATTATTTCTCTATTTTAATATTCAAGACACATCTGACTAGAAGTAAAATTGAACTCAAAATCTTTCACCTCAACACTGTTCTTTCCTATCCACGTTCCAATAAGACAATCGTCCTTATCTTCTCCAGGATATGAATATTGAAAGATGAAGCAATCTCCACTATAAAATTTTGATTGATCAGAAGCTGGGAGAAGAATCTTTTCCTGACCGTTCACGCGCCAAACCTGTACAGTTAGAGTAAGACTGTTGTTAACTACAGAAATAGAAGAGGAATGTTGAGATTGAACAACACCAAACTACAACAACTCCACCCAAACAGAGAATATCTTCTGAATTATCATGGAATACTTTATCAAGTTTTTTATCTTGTGCTAAAATTCAGGTTTTTTATTTAGAAGATTGGAATTGACAAGGATCAAACTCTAGTCGTCAACTTTATGATAGAAAACTCCTCAGATGTACTACAAGACTATGTATTCTGCTTCTCACTCTGGTGGCCGTCATCGGGATGGGAGATAGTAGGAGATCTAAAAGGGTTCTAAATGATTTTCTAATCAGAAGAAATCAATTACCCAAGATATAAAACCAATAAAAAAAAAATGACAAAAGTGAAACTGGATTGCATCAAGAAATATTGGTCTTGATGGATGATTTGCAACTAACGGGATACCTGTAAATGCCCAGTGCAATCGATGTAAGGTTGAGGTTCTTCTTTTACTGCATCAGCCTTCAACAGACCCTTGACATTTACTCCTTGACGTTTCAGAAGTGCTACAAATACAAAATCGCAAATAAGAGAAAAAATTGGGTTGACATAATGACTACACAAACTGTAATGTTCAAAAAATCTATTCAGGTTATGATTAAAGCCACAATATCTATCACTTGCCTGCTACCTTGCCACGTCCATCTTCAGATACAGTTACATCAGGGGTCTGAGGCCAAGAATCAAACTTGGACTTAAACAACACTGTTTCAAATCCTTCAATTACTCGAATTATTTGGGGTTTAAGTTGATCGATGCCACTGACTAACTCCTGTTATTTGGTCCACAGCAAATTACTAGTAGCTAGAACATGAAGTATAAATAAAACTTTATTTTGAAAAGGTATTGGTAAGTGTATTTAAACTTAAAGCCAAATGCTAAGGGATGCAAGGGAAAGTAGGTATTACATCAGCAACACCACTGGCACTTTTTCTGTCATCAAGAGAGGTGTTTCTTCCCATCCAGACAAACATTTCCAACCCACAATCCAGAATAAAACATTTATTTGTGTCTAGAAACTCCCTTTTGAAAGAATCAGCCTCAACGGGTTCGGTTTGTCCTTTTTCAACACTGCAAAAATGATAACTTATGATAACTAAGCATTACAAAATCCAACATTTTAATACAACAAACAAAATTCATCAACTATTGTCAAAATAATTGATTTGCTTTTGAAAGTTACAGTATTATATACTAATACAACTTTATGCTAAAAGGATAATTAATTTGTAACAGCTTCACATATATAAACATCATAAGTTTGGCAGCTAGAGGGGAATAAAAACAATGGTAAATTATAGCTTACACCCTTTAACTTTAGATACTGTACAGATAAATATTACAACAACAACAACCAAGCCTTATCCCACTAAGTATGGCCGGCTACATGGATCATATTAACTATTAAGCCATAATATTTTATCGAAGACCGTGTTTCTATCTAATTCGTTAATCTCAAGATATTTCTAAATAGTTTCACTTAATAGTTTTTCTGGGTCTTCTACTACCTCTAGTTTTTTGACTCATCTCCATCTGATCTACTCTTCTTACAACAAAATTTACAGGTCTTCTCTCTACAAGCTAAAACGAGCTAAGCCTATTTTCCACCATCTATTCTACTATAGGTGCTACCCTAAGACTCTAATATTGTCAAATTTTATCTTGTATAGTTTTGTCACACATCCAACGCAACATCCTCATCTCTACAAATGAATATTAAAAAGAAAAAAATGCAAATGGCCTCCCAAACACAAACTATGTAAAACCCCTTCAATCAAGCAAACCATTAAAAAAATGAAAATCAGAAAAAGTGGGACTTGTACATAACCGCAAATAGGATTTAACATCAAATAATACCATATAAACGGAAAACTAACCAGGCTTTTCCTTTTAACTATTCATTTCCATTTTATCTTATTTTTTTCCCCTTAAAGTATTGCATTGCATTAATTGAGTGGAGAATAACACGTAAATGCATCAGTAAGTAGGGCTAATCAAATAGAGGATAGTAAAATAGTTATAGAGATAAAAGCAGACCAAAGAAAACTATATAGCAAATTATTGAGATTCAGAGGTAAATAATACATTTTAGACTTAATTCAAGACAGTATTATGACATCATTTAATCCATATAGCCAACCCCACCTAATAGGAAAGGATTTGTTTCACACTTCTGCTTATCTTACAACAGTTTAATCGACGCAATGCTTGTTATTTGTGTTTTACACATAAAAGTATGAAGCTGCGTAGGAGTGTCTTTTTAACCTTTTAAAACCCCAATATTTAATGTACACAACCCAAAATTAAAGGGTGAAAGAAGATTGCAAAACATGTAAACATTAACATATTTCATCCCAACATCAGTTCACTAAGAAAGAACGGAATATATTGGTAGCGCAACTAGAAACAAAAAAAAATGCAAGAGGAAAGACCGGAATAACATTATACCAAAGCAGTTTTGGAGAACGAGAATCAGCAGATTTGCCATCCTCACTGGCTGCTTTTCGTGGAAGAGGAGCAAATCCGCCAAAGAAACCCCAGAATTCCCCAGTTTCAGGATCAGCCATTAACTTTCCATCCTCTGCTTGGAAGTTCAAGAAGACATTCAAATCATAAAAATCAGTAATCACCTTTCGAACTTCAAAATATACCCGTAGACTTACCAATGGCAGCTATCTCGCACTTTCCCTCGTGGTAGGTATCCTTAATATACTGTACAACTTCCAAAGCTTTAGCCCTTTCTTGAATAGATGAATTGGAACCATTAAATTGGAAGATTTTTGACTCAGTGTCGAGAACAAAAATATCGTCATGGTTGAGTGAAGATCGAGCAAATGGAACCTATAACAAAAAATAGTGACTGCTCAGCAAGCAGAAAATTAAGTTTCTGTATGTGTTTACCTGCCTGACCCAGAGTGATCAATGACATACAATACTCAAACCTCAATGGCAGACGAAAAAAGGTCAAACTTGCCTCTTTGACATGCACAACATGTTTCCCTCTGCATACAAATAACCGTGTCTTATGTTTTTCAGCCTCGGCATGTTTAAAACCAGAAGCAACTCCACCTTCTAGAGGTATAATACAAGGTTTGAAATAAGACAGGAACTTTTCAGTTTCATGGCCCTGTACTTCCCGATACTGAACAGCACGTCCTCCAAGAGCTGCATCCAGCTCAACCGTCTTGATGGCTGCAACACCAGCTTCATCCTATTTTAAAGTTACAATTATTATAACTAATGTCAAACCTAATCACGGGGAATATAAATTTATAAAAACTAATATATCACCTAGGTTATATTGAAAATATTAATAACTTTACCTGACTAGTGTCTTTACCAATCCAGTAATGGATGTCATGACGCAGAGCTCCACTTTTTGACGCGGTTGTCTATGGGGAAAAAAAGGATTGGAAATGAAATGTATTCATACTAGAAAAAACCAGGGATCATGTATGATGCAGTATGCACAAGCAGCATAATAAAAAGAAAAGGCTACCAGGTTAGTAGTTATGGCCACAAGTCAAAAGGAAGCCAGAAAATAATGTGAATCTTGCCAAAATAAGTGCTACTGATGAATATATGAGACTTGTTTCGAACACCTCATAAACTATCTTTATATGCAAGGGGAATCAAAGCTCATGGGAAAGAAGCCACTAATGTTTTGTGGATAAATTCATGCTCATGTATGGTTTTGAAAAATAATGTACAATATAAATACATACATCATTCTTTTAACCTCGGGAGACATTTTTTTATCAAAAATGATAAATGTATAGAGATTTCATAGTGAATGTTTCCTTAGAAAAATGAATAGAACTAAGAAGAAGATAATGTCCTATACCTAAACTCGTATTCATATATGACCAAGCGAGGATAGTATGTTTGGTAAATACAGTTTATCAACAATTTAAACCAATGATGCACTCTGTAACAAACTGAAAATGTACAGAAGTTACAGAATGAATGTATGCGAAAGAAAAATGAAGACGTGGAATCAATTTGACAAGTCATTACATACCAATGTTGTGATATTATCATCTGAAAACATCAAATGTTTCGAAGTTACAAAGTCCATGCAAAACAATTATAAACAGAAAATAAAGCTTCCTGAAAACACGGCTATTATTTTGAGAATAGCATTGTACGAAACTATGACTGAACAACCACTTGGAAAATATGGCTTACCTTTAAGATCACATAGGAATCCCCAGTGAAAAATTTGCCATAAGAGGACTTTGGGACAGATATTGGATTAAAATTCTCAATACGCCATATTTCAAGTCCACTATTAACGGTTAAGGAGAATAATGCATAAGATCAAAGCATGAAATCAATTTATGCATTGAATAGAACCAAGTGAAGGAGAAACATAAAAAAAAAAATCTTGTAAATATTGAAAATCTGATAAGTAGTAAACAGTACAATATGTTAATTAGATGCAGGATACGCTTTTTGTCCAGCTCCCTGGAAAGCTGGATCCACATCTCTCATGGAAACTGCCATAATATTATTCTACTATTTGGTCCTTCACACCCTAGCTTATATATAGCAAATAATATCCTGAAAAGGAACCATAAATAATATAATGAACTGATAGGAAAGCAATATCAAAGTTTACTGAAACAGCCAAAATAGAAGGTGAAATGCAAATGCTTCCACCAACAGTTTCAATCAACAAATTCTGGTTCAGAAGTAACTTTAATTAAAAACAGAGAAGACAATATCAGATGGCATAGATTATACGTAAGGTTGGCATCATTAATCAATCATTAGATAATTTTTTCTGACAAACGTAATGTAAAATACAAAATGAAGTAGAGAATAGCAAAGTTGTCATTAGGCTACAAAAAATGAGTTTTATTCTTTGAGATACAGTAAAGTTTACTACTGACTGAAAACCTTCCCAGTAATGTTCATCATGTACGCTTTTATAACCTTTTTCTATTTTCACCACTAGATATATACCCTCATGTAGTATTAGGAATTCCAAATATATTAAGAGCTCAATTACCATATTGATGTTCCTCAAGTTAAGGCAAATGTATCAATAGTTGCAACCGAGAACAAGAATGCATTTCTAAGCATGTCATTATCAGAATAACAGCTACTACAGACTCACTAATTGCTGTCCAAAAACATTGAATACACAAATAGGCATAGCTTGCATTTCGAGTAAGCAATCATGACACAAACCTTGTCATTGAAGTTGGTTGGACTAAAACAAAACATGAACAAAGAAGCCAAAAAGAAAATTGCATCTTTTGTCAACATGTCTGTTCAGCATACCTACTTAAGGCTAAATATTTTCGGTAGTCACCACTGTATGATACTAGTACATTGAAAGCAAGCAAACACACACACACACCCTTGCATTTGCATCCAACAAAGTCCTTTAGTAATATCAGTAGTTATACTATTCTAGAAAATAGGCGTGTTTGGGCAATCAGCTTATGAATACTTACTCACTGAGCTATTATAGGGATTAGGAAGCTTAACTAATCACTTCACATAATTTATTTTGTTTCCTATAGGCAGTGTTATCAAATAGCGGCATCGTGGCTGCTATATCTGCAATGATAAATATCGGCCGATATTGTGGGTTTTTCCGCTATAACGGTGCCGCAAAGCTACTGGTATGACGGGATTTTGGCTCTCCGCCATAGATTGCCATCCACCATCAACAACGCTGCCCATAGGTTCCCTCCACACAGAAGGCAGTCCTATTAGAGGTGTCTTGGGTACTAAATTAGATCTTTCAACCGGAATTCAAACATCAGTTTGCCACGATGTGGGAGTCTAACCCCTTCCGCTCGACGCAAGGGGCTGTTGGTCACTTACTCATAAGTTATTATAAGGTAATTATTGAAGCTAAAAATAGCTCATGAACATATCATAAGTTAATTTTGTTAATTACATTTAAACACTAGTAATATAAATATTTAGTACATCACAAGTAAAATAACCTTTTTCAAATTATGAGACACATATAGAGTTAATATTAACCCTTCAATCTTACATATATGATAGAGATTAAATTTAAGTAAAAACCAATATTGACCACTATCCAACAAACACCGGAAAACCCTGCGCAATTGTTGCAAACAAAATAAAAAGAAAGCCGAAGTCACGAGAATTCTTATTCTAATAACACGCCCCAACGCATATACACATGCAATAAAACGCTCAAATATTTGACAGAATGCCAATTTGCAAATACACCATCATCGAACAATACAATGAAGCTAACAAATCATACACCTAAGCAACTGACACGTACGCACGCAATCTACACAATAACAATACACATCACATAATCTCGAAAACTCAACAAACATAACAATCATTTTCCATTTTCCAAAATCCCAAACATCAACATCTAATTTTTCAACAAAAATAAAATAAATAAATAAATAAACTAATTAATTAATTAATTAAACTAGTCCTTTAAATTTCAACATAAAAATGCAATTTCCATTCAGGTCAACAAAATTCAATCGGGAACCAGATCGAAATTCAAGCTAAATCTACCTATCTTCAGTAAGAAAAAAAGTTGGAAAAAAAAACGATTAAATTATCTTCAATTCATACCTGGAAATGAAGCAGTAATCGATTATACCTTTATCAGAATCAGCAGCAATAAACAAAATCAGAAAAATCGAGAAACGAAGAACAACGCAGGTAATACACAACCTCGAGTAACTGAAATCCAAACTTGAAAGTATAAATAAATAAAGAAAGTTGAGGAATCGAAGTGAACAGGTAGAAGCAATATGCAGATCCAATCAGAGAAATGAAAATTGGCGAAAACCGGAGGTTCGGAAAATGGAAGGAAAAAGAAGAAAGAGAAAAGTGAGAGAGAAAAAGAAAGTAGTGAGTGAAGAAAAGAAGGAAGAAGAATTTTAGAGAGAGAAGAAAAAAAGGAATATTAAGGGGAGAGAATAGAATAGAAAAAAAGTTGAAGTGAGAGAGAAAGAGAGGGAAGAATGATGAAATGCCAGGCGTGCTTATCACTAACGGCAACAAAACTCCTTCCTTCCGTCCAACCCCACACTACACCTCACATATGAACTGTAAAACTGTTTTTCTATATTTTCTTTTTCAACTCTCTTTAATTATATAAAAAAAATCTTTTATTGTTTGTTTTATAATCTATTAGTACTTCCTAGTAATTACTGTCCTAAAATTATTAATTAATTGTTTTTTAGTACTAGTAATTACTGTCCTAAAATTATTAATTAATTTTTTTTAAATACAGATAAAACTTGAGGTCGGACTTACATAAAAAAATTTACTGATGGAGTCAAATATAATAGGTAGAGTTTGGTAGAATATACGTCTCCTAATTTTAATTTTTTTTATTGTTGATTTTATATGTGTCAGTTAGTCTAGTGTATATATTTTTATTATTAATATTAGTATTTATTTGTTAAAAAATATTTGACAAATTTAAAAATATAATAAATTTTAATTTTTATTCTTAAAATATAAGTTAAAACTCAATAAAACATTTATATTTTACAGATTGTAAATTCAACTTTTAAATATTAAAATTGATTTTCTTTAATAATATTTTTTAAATTCAACTACTAAATTCACCCCCAATAACTTTATCACTTTATTTTTTGGAGGTTGTGGTGTGGGGCGGTTGTTGTAATGGTGAAAAATCCTTGAGATAAGAGTTATGTTTGTCTGTTTGTTTGTTGCTAAATGTATAACTCACTTACTACGCTTAGTATGTTTCTTTGAGTGTAGTTTTGTTGAAATTTTTAGGCATGAAATTAATGTTTGCTTAAGTAAGGTGGTGGTCCAATGAGAAGGTAGTACTAATGTAGGAGTAGATTTGTAGGTGAAGATTTTATTCAGTGTAATGGTAATTGGGTTTTAAATGGGTATAGTGGTTATTGAGTTACACTTTGTTCTATTAATATACCATTTATTTAGTAATCTTTATGTATGATAGTTGATAGACACAATTGATAATATACTATTTATTGAATTATTGAAATTTATTTATCATTTGTATTTATTTCTCTTAAATTAACATTAATAGAGATTTATATTTATTAAATTAATAAAAGTTTATGTATCTCTCTTAAATTGATGTTATATGGCATATAGGTAATTAAACTTGTGGATAAAAAATTTATGTATGAAACTACTATTTATTTATTAATTATCTAATTTTTTATTCAAAAAAATAATCATATAATTTATTTACAAGATAAAAAGTTTAATCAATAGATTAAAGCCATTTAAAAATTTAATGAAATACTTTAAGTGATAATACAAATTTATTGGATAAAACTTAAATAATTAATTATAAAACTAATTTCATAAAATATTGGAAGCAAGATAGACAAAATTGGGAGGAAAATGAAAATATATTACGAAAATAAATGGTTGAATTAATTTAATTTAAATATAAAAATAATTTATAATTTAATAATACGTTAAAAATAATATTAAGAAAGGGAATATGTCCTATCTCGGAACTTTATCATCCACTATTGTGTCTTTCCGACTCCTCGGTCTTTTTCGCCTCCCTCGGTTGTGAGTTTTTCTTCATAGTTAATGTATGGTTGTGTCCTACTCAGAAAATCACTTAAGTTATGGACTCCTACGAATCCTTAATTTTTCTATAACATGCAGTCTGGTCTCAACCCTTTCTCGAATATTCAGCATTTCAAACTGTCATTTGTCCCCTCTACAACTACTACCACTTTGGCGAAGCGATCAATGTATTCGAGTAGGATTTCTTTTTTGCATTTAGTGACCTCACTAAGTATGACCATTATCACGGGTTTCCGCTCTTAGACGGTGAACTGTGTAGTGAAATTTTCACAGAGGTCCTTCCAAGAATTTATGCTCCAATCAAAGAGGGTCTTGAACCATGTCATCGTAAATCTGATTAAGGTTAGTACAAAGAACTTACACTTTACTGACTCATGGGTGTGATACTATTATAGCTGGTTATCTACGTGTTCAAGGTGTTTATTTAAGTCTCAAGTTCCAACATAGCTCTGCAGGCTCAAAGGTTTCTACAATGACCTCGAGATCTTGCTATCGAAGATTTGAACAGACAGATGGTTCCTTTTTCGCTATTGAACCAGTGTGTCTTAGTCATACCACTACCTCATTTTAGGATGGCTGACCTCTAGGAGAGTGTGGCTACCACTCTTTTATTCAAGATTCAGGGAAGAATCGTATGTCTTTGGTGACAATTGCGAGCATGCGGCCTCAGGGGTCTTTCCTCGTTATATTGTTGCTCTAATTGAATCTAGTCTAATAAATTTAGCTTGATTACCTTGGGAGGTCGCCTTTTGCATGATAATGTTTCTTGGTGTGACGTGCTACAAGTTCTCTTCAATCTTATAAAGCTTATCTTCCAAGAATTATGAATTTTGTTGTTGCATCATATTATAAACATTGTTTAGCATGTCCGCAAGGAACTATTGTGTAGACCCGAAGAAAGGAAGAGCTTGGAATGCTCCTTAAATGAATCT